AAGCCAAGAGATTGTTTTTCAAATAGATAATACAGACAGAAGAAGGCATGGCCTTGCTCCAGAGCCTTAGAGTTCAGCTCAGTAATTTTCCTAGTGGTGAGGGGTTCCATTGAGCATCTTTGTCTGTCTCAGGCACTTGTAGTACTGTTGGTTTTCTAGGTTACATATTCCAGGTATCAAGGCAGCTCACGTAGTAGCCTGAATCTGCTGCACAGCCTTTTCTTGGTTTGTCCCCAACTCAAAACAGGCAGTAACTGATGAGAGCAGTGCACCCATGTCCTCCAAAATCAGAGAGGCTCATGATTATTGTGTTTCTTTCTTTACATTGAGTGATGCCAGTTACAATTTGTCTCTTGCCTTAGAGTGAGTGAGTGGTATCCTAACATACTTCAAGTTACTGAGTACTCTAAAAATGTCACAGAGGTGGCAGGCCCTAACCTTTCCCGGGATTTCTCTCCCATCTCCTGCATGTATATAGCACCAAGAGTGCTTGCCACTTGCTGCACAAGTCCAGTTAGCATTGTGTCATCAAAGTAATTGGCCAAAGAGATTATCTGTGGGATGGATATCAAGAAAATCCAGGTCCCTCTGGCCTCTCTTTAAAAACATAGCAGGATTGACATAGCTATGAGGGAAATCAGTGAAGGTATACTGTATTCCTGTCATATGAAGGCTAAGTGATTGTAAGTGTGGTTCATAATAGAGATTTTTAGAACATTGTAGGCTGGTACCTGTACCTTAGATGCCAAGGGCTGTGTTGGTTTGCGCTAGTAAAAGTACAACAACTGGAGCCATAGCTGTGGTGAGCATCACTATCTGGTTATATCTGCAATCATCAACAGTCATCCTATATGATTCATCTGGCTTTTCAGAAAAAAGGGCACATTATGCTGGAATATGGTAAGAATTACCACCCCATTCAAGCCTTTTATGGTGGCACTAATCTCTGTGATTTCCCCAGAAAGGTTTGGGGGCTGGGGATATAATTATAAGGGCTTCTACTTGGTCTTCCTAACCATAATAGCCTGAGCTCCATGGATGGTGGAACACTTTGGGGATTCAGCTGCTTACAAAATGTATCAATTCCCATTGTGCATTCCTGAGGCCATAGGAATAACTAGGGGTAGGTCTGTGGTTCCACAAACCTATTGTGATATGAATACCAGGCTAAAACTTCCTGATTTTCATAAATTCCTACTTGGACCATAGTGGTATTTTTGGAGGTCCAGAAATTGGTGTCAGTTCAGAGCAAGAATCTAATAAGACCTAGAAAGTCTGTGCATTTCTGTTTCTTAGTACAATCAGGTACCTTAGGGAGGGCTCGGGAATATTTGCTACACACATCTGTGGCTGCCTTGTAGTATTCTTCTTCAAAGGGAATCAAGTGATTGTGGCTCTCTGAACTGACTTACATTTAGGAATTGAGTAAGAGGTTGTGAATCCTGTGATGACACTAGTGGGTTTTCCACCTGTGTGTGTCAGGCAGCATTTTGGGGGCTGCCCATCTGTTTCCTATAGTGCCTGATTCATTAACCATCATCACTTTCCTGAAAATAAAAACCCTAATGCCACTGTATCCCTGTAGCTTCTGTGGTTATTGTGCCTAACCTGTCTCCAGAGTTCAGCACTGCTGTCTGGCTGTTATGACTTGGGATCCCAGTATTCCTGCTGAGATCAGGGAACCCAATTTCCTTGCAGCACCTCTGAGGTCATCTTCAGCCTACAGATGACAGCCACTACCAAGCTTTTCCTGGATGCTGGTGCTTGTCACAGAATACTTTTTAAATGGTTTGGTGAAAGAAGTGTCCTCCAAGGCAATGAGAAGGTGGCTGAGCAAGTAGCGTGTAATAGATCTGTCCCAACATCTCATCTCTTGGTGCCTTTGAGCTTCCTTTTCAGTGTGCCTTTTTCTTTCTAAGACCTCCTCACACAGCACATTCTCTTACATGTTCGCCCTTTTTACATCTTGCTGAGATGTTACAGTGCCAGGGAGGCTTTCCTGAACATTTTTTCAAAAAAATCAAGACCCACCTCCCCGCTGCCAGCAGCACACACTCGCCCTCATCCCTGCTTATTCTCTGTAGCATTTCTTAGTATCAGAAATGCTGTACAATGTATGTGTCTATCTGAAAACTCACAAGCAGACCACCTTCAGGTGTCATAGTGAATCTGCTACTAGTTCAGCACTGACTTTGGCCTTGCTCTTTGGAGATAGATAGATAGATAGATAGATAGATAGATAGATAGATAGATAGATAGCTAGCTAGCTAGCTAGCTAGCTAGCTAGCTAGCTTACTTTTCAAGCAGTGATATGCAATTTTTGTGTGTTGCCCCTGTGTGAATTGGGTGCATTTATTAATGTCTTCTCTTCTGAGGACATTTGTTACATGCCTTCACATCTCCCCAAAAGCATCTGTGTATCAATTGTCAGAGTATAATAAAGCATGCCTGGAATTATATAACTGACTGTAGAAAATTGAAAGGTTATAGTGATTGTGTAATGTGCCTTGTATTGAGAAATCCAATTAAATCTTTTTAAACTTAATTTTTTCTCTCTTTTACTTTAAAAATATGGGAAAATGTGATTCATGCATGAAAAAATGAATGTAAGAAAAACTTTTAAGGACTTTTATTGAAATGAATAAATAGCTAGAACAAAGCCCCAATCAATTGCAGTAGAAGTCAATGAAAAGACTAGAAAGTTAATACCTACTTTAGAAATGCCAACTTTTATTTATTTAAAATATCACATAATAGTCAACTTTTTTCATGATTATAATAATTTAAAATATTGAGAGACACTAATTTTTGAACTATTTATAAATTTATGTCAAGAAGTTACCCAACCTAAACTCTTCTTTGCTTTATTGATAAATGTATATCTTATAAAAATGTCATATAATCCCTTTGTCAGTTCTAATTAGGATAATCAAGTTTAATGTAAACTAAATTGACAGGCTCTTTATCAAAATGTCTGTGATCTCTCAGATATATAAGTCCCAAGTTGACTTTTTGTTTGAATGAAACAAAAGGCTCTATATTTATTACCAAAAATGAGTACATGATTCACTCCACCAAAATTTATCAGCTGCCTCCTATGTGCCAGGAACTGTGCCAACTGCTGGGTATCCAATGATGAACAAGAGTCCTGCCTTTGTAAGCTTCCAGCCTAGTGAGAGAGGACAGGCTTAATCAGGTCCAGCCAGACAAATGTGGTGTCAGGATAGAGAGGACATGGAAGCCCGCTGGGAGCACTCAGCCTTGCAGTGAGAGGTCAGGGATGCTTTCTGGAGAACAATATCCAGGCTGGAACTGGAGGGGTGGGTAATGATTAGAACAGTGACCAACACTGATCCTGTGTGCTGGGTACACTTTTACATGTCTCAACTCACTTCATCTTCCTAACAATCTCATGAGATCGATGAGGAAAATCCACACTGAGTATTTCAATAACTAGCCCACGTTACAGAACTAGAAAGTAGCAGAGTCAGGATTTGGGCCATGCTTGTCTAATCCCTGAGCCTTTGCCAGTGTGTTTCAGACCCAAGAACCATAGCCAGAAATACCTTTCATGTCATGACCTATTCCACACACACACACACACACACACACACCTGAAACAAGTTTCTCAGTTTCACAAAACACTATTTATTGGCAGTGTACTCTGGTCTATTTTATTTAGTCAGTTTTATTTTTAAAAAATTATATGTGACCCAGAAAATTGATTTCGTGGTGCATAGTTTGAACACTGGCTCATGACACTAGTTTGCCTACTCCTCAGAATGAGCCAAGCCAAGTGAGGAGAGAAGAGGAGACTGGTTCAGGCAGAGTGGACAGTGTGTGAGAGACTGAGGCTGGGAAATAGGAGGGTGGAGCGGCTAGAAGAAGCTAGCGGGGCTTTAGCAGGAGTACCATATGAAGTCAGAGAAGTGAACAAGGTCTTCAGTAAAGGTGATCATGTATTTATTACTCAAGCCAGGACACTTCAGATAGTGAAAGGAAGCACAGTGAATAACAATGCCAGCATATTGCATAAACCTAGAGCTTCCTAAGCAAAGCAACGTAAGTGCCCAGTGTCCTGATAAGCCATGCCTTTTGTCCAAAAAATAGTGGGGGAGCCTTTGAGGTGCTCAAAACAAGGACATAACACCTGCTTTAGGAAGATGACTGTGTGTGCACTGTAAAGAAAAGATTGGTGGTGAGCAAGTTAGGAAGAGCAGTTAGATAACCTCCCTCCTGTATTTCCCCTGCTCTCCTCTGAGACTTCACCTTTCACAGCTTTCTGCTCCCTCCCCTGTGAGACGGATGCTGAATTGCTTCCCAAACACTAGGCTTTTTTTTTCACACTTTGCACATGCCACTTCCTCAGCTGGCACCTCTGCCCTCAAAGACTATTCATTTGTCTAAGTTCTGTTCATTCTAAGGATCTGCTAAGATCTCATTGCTTCCGGAAGCCTTCCCTGGCATCCCAAAGGCAGGCCTTACTCCTTCTCCTCACTAGGCACTCTGTGCCAGCCCAGATGGGGTTGCACCCTATTCCAGCTCTGATTCTGCTGTGTTGTCATTGCCCACAACTTCCTCCACCATCTGGACTATATATAGTTGGACTATATACAGTTGAAATATATATAGTCCACCAACTGGACTATAATTTTTTGAGCGCCATACTATTTCCTATTTATCACCTTAGTCTCTGCCTCGAATCCAGTGCTTAGCACGTAGTAAGTGCTCCATTAAATGTATGCTGGATGAACGAGTTGTATTTGAAATGCTCTTAAATAGAATACAACTACCCTCAAGGAGCTCTTCCTATGTTTTTTGCATGCACTTAAAAAGTATCTTCAGAGAATATTCATCCCAGCTTCTAAAAGAAGAGCAGCACAATGGGGGTGCTCTGAGTTCACCTCCCCAGCTCACTGCCTACAGAGTTGCCTTTTGAAATGTTGTAGAACTTTCCTCATCCCTAGTTGACATTTGATTGTTGTATCAGCCAAAGGGAGTCTATTTGAAAGGAGGAAGTACTCAAAATGCATAGAATTAGAAATCACATTGATGGCCATGCTGAAGGCGTGCATGTGGATCCTGGCATAGGCCCAGATACCATTTACAGTATTTAGTTGTTTCTTTCATATCATTGCAAGTCGGAAACTAGGACCTATCCCCATGTGGGATTCAAATTCTGCCTGGTTTCTAGGTGGTAGGTGGTCACTTAAGCAGTAGGTTCTGGAGGGCTGCAGGCAAGGCAGGAATGGCTGGTGGCTGGCAAGCAGATGAGGGGTTATTTGCATGGTGGGTTAGAGGAGATGGGTGAGGAAAGAACAGAGAGCTGTGGGGAGCTGCAAGAGCTGTGCAGAGGCAGAGATGGCATCTTGCTAGCTTGAGTTGTGGGCATTCTATTTTCAGGCCATGACCTCTAGCAGGCCAAAAAGAATAGCTATATTTTTCTGTAATTGAAGATAATCTTAATTCTCATGGCAGAAAACATAACCTTGGCTATTCTGTTTTTTCAGTCTTTTCCATCTTGAACTCAGTTGAACTCATGCTTGGCATCATGGCTTTGGGGATGCAGGAAATGTTAGGTCTCTGGTTGTTGAACATCTCTTCATACTGACTTCTACTGAGAGGAAGGAAACTGATCACCACTGTTCTAGAACTGTCCACCTATCTCAACCTGCATCCACTGAGATCTTAGCAGCACTGTCTTGGTCTTTAGGTGTCAGGCCATGTAGTCTGCAGCCCCTTTGTTCCCAGCCTGAGACTCTTTCATTACTGCCACCCTCTCTCAGCTAATTCTCCAACCCCTAGGAATTGCTGGAAACCTTCCTGCATCTCACATATTAGAGACTCTTGAGTAGCTGGCTCAGATGCTGTCTTCCCTCACCCATTTCATTGGTATTTCTTTACTGCTTCTGTCCTATTCTGCTCCCAGATAAAGGTAATGGGGAATTCTGCAACACTGCTCACCTTTCCAGGCTTCTTCTGGGAAAAAGTAAGGATCCTCTTCACCTTCAGAATGAAAGCAACATGAGACAGGATTTCTTCCGTTTTGTTCACTGCTGAAAGTTCAGTGCTTGGAATAGTGGCTGGCTAACTGTAGGCCTCAAGACAGAATGGTTGAAGGGATAGATAACTCAGTCCCTCTCTGGTCTCCCTAGATTTCAAGGATTGGCTCTTGATAGACTCAGAATGCAAGACCCTCTCATCAAGGCCATCTGACTTATCTTACCAACATCTAACTCTTGCTGGTGCTGCTGCTTTTTATCTCCTTACACTGTGGAGTTGTGGGGAGGGAGACTATGTCTGTTAATACTTCACTCATCTCCTTCCACTCCTGGATCCCCAGGTCCTAGCACAATGCCGCTCCATAGCAGACTGTCAATTCATCCTTGTTGAATTGAAATACTGGATGAATTGGAAACTGGCAAGGCATTGAAGAGAAGAGCAGAAGCTTAGAAATGGCTTGAGGGTAAAGATGGAATGGGTTATGGAGAAGGAATGCCCAGGATTATTAGTTCTTTGTTGAAACTGAATCCTATTCAGTAAAGTCATATAATTTGTTTATTTTGATACTTTTAAAGACTATTGCTATTATATTTTTTGATTAGCAGTACGGCACGTGCTCCCTAGAACCCAAATAAGTAAATTAACCCTCCAAATTAAAGACAAAACCAACAAATTGTCCAACTTATTATAAATATAACCTGAAATAGCTATCAACAACTAGATGTTAATTGCAAATGAGTTGTAAAATTCGAGAAGAAAAGATTGGGAAATTTGATTTCAATTCAACAAATACTGAGTTCCTACTGTGTGTCAGGCACAGAGGCTGGCATGACAGACTATCTGCCCTCCAGGAGCTTCTGTTGTGGTGAAAGTAACAGATAATGTGTAAATAAAATAACTATAGATTATAACACATGCTGTGAAGGAAATAAATAGGGAACTTCATAAACTGATGATGAAAATGTCAGTGTGGCTGGACTGTAGCAAATTAAGGAGGGGTGGTGAGGTTAGGTAGGCAGGCCTCCTCATTGGAGTCCCAGGAGGAGTTTGGGCTGAATGAATGTGGGGAAGCCGAAGCAGATCAAAGGAGCAGTGTTGTATTGACCATGGCCAAGGACAGAGGCAGTGGCAGTGAAGAAAAGTGGGCAGATCTGAGATGTTTGGGAGCTCAAGCCTGGATATCCTGATGAATTGTTAGAGTGATGGAAACAATAGCTCCTGCTTAGGAAAGGGAAGTAGGGGGAAGTAGGTATGTGACAGCACCATTTATGGAGAAGGGGAAGACCAAGGAAACAGGTGTGGAAGATACACAAGAGCTACATTTTAGATATGTTAAATTTGAGGTGTCTGTGACACATCCATTTAAAATCCTATATTTAGTCTTCTGGCACTAAAATAAATAAATCAGAATCTAGATCGTTGCCTTTTCTATTTTTTTTTAAATCAGGCTCTCTTTCCTTGAGAAACTGAATTCTTATTTGTGCTTTCTAGATGGTGTTTTATGTCTGTTGTGCATTTCAGAAATCTGAGCATTCTATTACTATTTTTTTAAAAAAGCACAACAAGCCTTGAATGTAGGTCATCACCAAACATGCTCAGCCTTAATAAAATTCTGGAAGAAATGGAGTGGTTGACCCTTTGTCCCTGTTACCTACCAATTACAGTTCAGCATGTTCAAACTACTGCTTCATTTTCCCTGAAGCTCACAGTTTTAACAAAATGTAAGTAGTAATACTTGACTTTTCCTCTTCATATCACTCTCTTCCTTTCAACAGAATATGGATGCTTTAGTGGACATGTTAGTCAGCTTTCCATCACTACATTGTACTAAATACCTGAGGTGATCAATGTATAGAGAAAGAGTTTATTTGGCTCACAGTTTGGGTTTCAGTTCATGATTGGTTGGCTTTGTTGCTTCCAGGCCTATCTCAAGGCAGCACATCGTGGCAACAGTGTGTGGTGGTACAAAAAAGAAAGAAGGGACTGGAATTCCATAATCCCTCAGTGACTAAGGATCTCACACTAGGTTCCACTTCTTAAAGATGCTACCCCTCCCAGTAATACCACAGTGGAGACCAAGCCTTTAACACATGGGCCTTTGGGGTGCATTGAAGAGCCAAACTATAATGGAGAACTAGGCACAGTTGATAATGAGCTAATTTTGAATAGATTGATTAGGGTTATGCAAATGTTGTTTTCCTTTCTAAAGATTGTGTAGTATCTCTTCATATGTGTGTGTGTGTGTACATGTGTGCTTGCAGAGTGCTCTACAGAGGTACTCTAAAAGTCCCTAGAGAATTCTCCAGCAGGTGTTTCTCTTGTATTGTTGAATCAACGTGCAGAGTAGCAAAATGATAAGCAGAAGGCAATAGCAATTACAATTCTTGATAAGCCAAGGTTACAGCAATTACAGAGCTCAACTGTGGCTCTTGCCAAGGTCAAATGTTTGAAAAACTATGGATTAAAAAGTTGTTTTTCTTCCTTGTAGGTATTTGATTCATTTAACATAGAAAAATCCAGAGAAAAGTACTCAGTGCTTGACAATGATAATTACCAGTCCTTTGCTACCTATAAATTTGGAAATGCTTATTGAGAAATTCTCTATCATTAAATTGTGACTATTTTGTGATAATCATATCTTAGCTGCCATTTCTCTCCATGCTTTGGATGCTTGTCATCCCCTGTCTGGGCTGTTATAATAATACCTGAGCCTCACTCTTGTTTGTCATCATGTCACTTCCTTTTCAGAAGTGTGGTGAACTAGACACTCTGAAGGTCCTCCTGCTATTAAAGCAAACAAATGAACAAACCTAGATTCTGGATGAAAGATATCTTTTAATCCATTGTTGGAAATGCTAAAGGAAAATCCTAAGGGCAGAACAGAACAAAACTACATCAGAGAGCTGAAAATTGATCGGAGCAGGAAGCCATGAATGTAAATGAATCCAAAGGCAGGTTTCCCTGAAGGCAAATATTATAAGCAAACCATCAGAGAACTAAACCTTGAACCTGTAGCAAGGGCAAGAAGCAGAGCCACAAACTCAGCCTTAAGTTGGAGGTCTCCAGGAGGCTAACTTCACTCCAGGTTTGCAGTCCCAGCTCCTGAGATGAACACAGATTCTGGAGGAAGGATGCCCTGTGCAGACCCCACATGATATCTACTGATTAACCTCAGCCACTCATGATGTCACAATCCATGATGACCAAAAAGATAAAGGAATAATTCTGCAGAAGCGAGAGTCTACAAAGACACAAACAACAGACTTATCCTCCAAGTCCTCAGATGTGAATTATTAGCTGCAGAATATTAAGCAGCTTAGTATGAAATGATTGAAGGAAAAAGATGACATCAATAAGGGACAGATGACTAGACAGATTTGAAAAATAACCAGGGAAACCTTTCAAAAAGGAAAAATGAAAGTAAAAACTAAGTATAGATGGGTTAAACAATAGTGTAGCTAAAACTGAAGTGAGAATTAGTGAATTGGAATGTGTATCAGAAGAAATTCTCCAGGATGCAAAGAAGCTAAAGAGATAGAAAATATTAAAGAAAAGTTAAGAAACACAAATGAGAAATGAAGTTTAATGTAGCCAATAGAAGCCCCAGAGGAGAGAATATATATAAAGAGAGCAACATTTGATAAGATGATAGGAGATATTTTTTCAAGAATTGATGAAAGGTGAATCCAAAGATTCAGGAAGCCCAATATATAACAACTAGGGTAAATAAGGTGAAAAATTACAAACTCAGCTCATCATAATGATGATATAGAAGACCATAGACAAAGAGAGAAAGGCAGAGTAACTATCAAAGAATAACAAGTAGCCTAACAGCAGATTTCTCAACAGTAACACTGGAACCCCACACAAGGAGCAGTAATCTGTAAGTGGCCATAGAAAATGTCTTTCAACCTAAAATGTGTAATCTTTAAGAACAGAGTGAAATAAAAACATTTTCAAAGTAAGACTTTTCAAATAAACAAGGGCCTGAGTTACCACCATGGACCCTCACCAGTAGAACTTGTAAGCAGATTTTTCAAGAAGAAAGAAATGATTCCAGAAAGAAGATCTGAGTTACAATAAGGCATGATAAAACAAGAAATTAGTGAATCTAAACAAATGAAGTCTGAGAAAAATAATTATACCTAAGAGAGCCAGATGCCCTACTTCTTAGTGGGGACCTTTATAGACCTTTATAGACCTTTATAATGAGAAAGAGTGAATTAAAGATGGATGATGTTGAAAAGGGCAAGATTATTTTTGCTCAGAAGTGGTGGTACATGCCACTCGGCACTCAGAGGACTATAATCTCAGCACTCTGGAAGTCTGAGGCAGAAGGGTCACAAATTCAAGCCCAACCTAGGTAAGACCCTGTCTCAAAATTTTAAAAGGGCTGAGCCGTAGCTCAGTCCAAAAGCCCCGGGTTCAATCGCCAATACTGAAACAGAAATGTGCTTAGTGCCATACCATGGAAAAGGAAGACAAGCACAAGATGGGGCCAAGTTTCCAGGTCACTCTGGGCAGAAAACAGGTCAGGCCTTTGTATTCTGTGATGCAGACAACTATAAGAGCAAAGACATCATCTAGGGAGAGGAGTCACTGCTGAGGTATTTGGAGAACCAAAAAAAGTGCATCCCTGGAATGAAAAGTGATCTTACCTGGTATTAAGAAGGTTTAGAGAACCGGGGATTTAGCTCAGTGGCACCACGCCTGCCTCACAAGTGCAAGGTCCTGAGTTCAATCCCGGGTAACAAAAGAAAAAGAAGGAGGAATCTTAGAAAGGGGAAACTGCATGACTGTGTAGCTCTGACTTCTAATGGCACTTTCACCCACTCATTGTCAGGGTGATGGGAGAGGAGACACATCATCAGCAAATTATATGATCATAAGTCTCAAGGTAACTAAAAGATCACAGGTTAAAAAAATAATGACAACACTTCATTTATGTTTTAGAAAAAAACTAAACTGCTAGGTAACAGCATATAACTGAAGAGGAAAGGGTAAGTTAGAGTTATGTGATTTTGCAGTCTCAGAATGTGGGCCAATATAATAACTTTAGACTCTTCCAGGCTACAGGTATGTACCAGGATATTAAAATGGGAGTCTTTCTGCTTCCTTTGCTTTAAGTCCTAATAATGAAATAGGTAGCAGGTATCAAATCCAGATATGGAGAGTTTTAAAGGAAATGAATGAAAACATATCCCAGGATTCTTGAACCCTACTCCCCCCTACACACACACTTTGCAAATATTACAAAAGGAAAGTATGATGGAAGAAGAGTCTGGTGAGGAGGTGGGTGATGAGAGTTCTTGAGAAGGAGCTGTTGTCACACTGTGAGTCTTACCTTTCCTCCTCTGGGGAGTGGTGGGAAGACTTACTTCCTAAGCCAATCCTGATGAGAGAGGCTTTAATATATGTTCCCTAGAGTGGGAGACTCCAAGAGCTAGTGGTTGACTCATGTCAGGGATGTTATTCAGGACCTGTCTCTGGCCTGAAACAGGAAAAAGCTGGCCAGTTGCTTTGGTCACAAAGCCACAGGAGCCTGTGAATTGGGACTGGCCTGTGGCCCCAGAAGGTTAAGCAGGATAGAAAGCTATTGTGGTCACAATGGCTTGTCCAGTAGGGCTGCTTGGATGGCAGAAAGACACTAGAGGTCTGAGGGGAAGGTGCCCCCATAGCTGTCTGAAATAGACAGGCATTCAATCCAAACCTCAGAGCCATCCTGACTTATTCCTTTTTTTCTTATCAGCTCTGCCTTCAAAATACAAAAATCTGTCTAGAGTCAGATCACTTCTGTTGCTATCACCCTGGTTCTGTTCACCATTATTCCCTCAAAGAGTTATTGTAGTGGCCTCCTAACTTGTGACATTTCTTCTCTCCTTGTCCCCTGTAGCCTTTCTTGTCCCACACCTTCGCCTCCTCACTCATTCTGCCATAGCCATCTCAGACCCCTATGTGTTCCTGGAACCCTCCTGCCTGTGGGTATCTGTAGTGACTCTGCCTTGCGACTAGAATACTCTGCCTGCTGCTACTCTACATGATTTTCTCTCTCACCTCCTTTGGTTTATGGCTTAAATATCACCTTGACAGTGAGGTCACTCAGATCACCCTATGTAAAACAGTGACATTGTCCTTATGACCTCCCCCACCAATCCACTCATTCCCTGGCTCTCCCTGTGTCCCTTAACTGCTTTATTTTCCTCCATAGCATTTATCACTGTCTGACTTGCTATATATAAATCCTCATTTAATTATTCATTTCTTATTCTCCCACTATATAATGGAAGCTCTAAGAGGGCAAAGACTTTGTCTTTTTGTTCACTGTTGTATTTTTAGAGCCTAGAATAGTATGTGACATGCCGCCTAATAAATATCTTCTGAATGAATGAATGTATGAAATGAAGGGTGCAGAGAAGAGAGGGACTAGTCAATCTTAAATGCCATGGAGATGTCCTGAGGCATAGGGCTGAAAATTTTCCATTGGATTTAGCAATTAAGCCAGTGATAGCCTCATAGAGGACAGCATCATTTGAGAGGTAGGAAAGGAAGCCAAATTGTTTTGTTGTGAGTTGAACAGCAAAGAAAGAAATGAACTCAATGGGAAATAATTGTTTTTTCAGTGAGTCTGGGTGAGTGGAGCAAAAGAAAGATGAAACACACAACCAAAGGGGCCGAGGGACGAAGTATTTAAAATGGAAGTATTTAAAAATTAAAAATAGAATGACCCAGCAGTCCTATCTATTCAGGGGAATGAGATCCATATGTTGAAGAACCTGTGTTCTTTGCATCATTCCTAGTAGCCAAGATATGGAATCAAGGCAAGTGTCCATAGATTGATGAATGGATAAAGAAAAAGTGGTCGGTATATAGAATGTAATACTATTCAGCTTCAAAAAAGGGGAGGGGAAATCTTGTCACAGGCAACAACATAGATGATCTGGAGGATATTATTTTAAGTGCAATAAGCTAGGCACAAAAATACAAATACTCCTGGGGGTGTAGTTCAGCAGTAACAAGTTTGCCTGGCATGTGTGAGGCCAAGTTATATCCATAGTAATGCCCCCCCCAAATAATAATGGAGGGTTGAGGAGAGTTGGAATAAGTTGAACCAAGCCTAAAAGTCCCACATCAGAGAACTAGTTAAAGGGCTGCCCAGGGAGCACTAATAGGCTCTCACATTCACTCCATTAAAGCGAGCATTTGAGTACCTGCCATGTGGAGAGCTCAGAAGGATGAAGGACATGTTAGCCAAAAACACAGCAACGACCAACAGGTACAGGAGGAAGAGACAGGCACTGTCTGTTTTACTCTCCCTCCTGTGCTCTAACACCTAGAGAAGCTGGTCTGCAAGTGGTAGACCTCAGGGTGAGGGGAGGGAAAGAAAGGAGCAGGGCAGAAACGGGGCAGCCAACATAAATGCACAGAGGTCAGACAGTGCATGATTTGCAGAGAATCTCACATCCAGAGTGGCCAAAGTGTAGGGCAGGCAAGGAGAGGCTGAGGAGAGCTGGAACGCCAATTAGATCTGACCATAGATCGCCTCACTTCACCCACCATCTCTCTTAACCTCACCTCCATATTTTCTATTGTATTCTTTTTGGGGGGGGGTACTGGGGATCGAACTCGGAAGCTTGTACTTGTGAGGCAGGCAGGGAAACCACTGAGCTAAATCTCACATCCAGAGTGGCCAAAGTGTAGGGCAGGCAAGGAGAGGCTGAGGAGAGCTGGAACGCCAATTAGATCTGACCATAGATCGCCTCACTTCACCCACCATCTCTCTTAACCTCACCTCCATATTTTCTATTGTATTCTTTTGGGGGGGGGGTACTGGGGATCGAACTCGGAAGCTTGTACTTGTGAGGCAGGCGGTGGAACCACTGAGCTAAATCCCCGGCCCCATATTTTCTCTCTTTGGTCTCTGTGCTAAATCTCTGAGTAATTTCTCTGTACCTATCTTCCAGTTCCCAAGTTTCTTCTACTCACCAATTTATTTTAAATTTTCAGGTTTTTTATTTTGCATTTGTAGAAGTTCTACTTGAATTTTTATCAAATATGCCTAGTTTGGGTTTTTAAATCTCTTATTCCTCGCTGCTCTCTCAGAAATATTTCTTTAGCCACAGTAAATGTATCTGGTTATTTTATCTCCTGTTTATACATTCCAGTGTTTAAAGGTTTCCTTGTCTAATTTGAGTGCTTTTTAAATTCACAGTACATAGTACATGGTCCATCTTCAAGATACTATATATATATGGCATGAATGGAAATATGTGGAAGATGCTAGAATAAAACTGCTAAACAAAATATAAATTACAGCATAGTGCTCTAATCATATAATAAAAATATAAGCAAAGAACTATAAGAACAAGGACCATACAGCTCCCCCATCTGGGTCCCCAAAAATGGTACATGGCATCTTTGGTATGCAATGAAGTGTTTCCAAAGGAACATACTTGCTGGTATATTTAAAGTTTTAATAGATGTCTTCTTGGCTAATGTTGAATAATAGAACAGTTCATGCTTCATGAGAATAATACTTTATCTGAATTCAGGACTTAAATGATATTTAAAGGTGTGTTACAGCCTTGGTGTTTACTCTGTGTTTACACATGGTTTTTACTCTGTGTTGAAGTTACAAAGTTTATGTTTGGTCTGTACACCTAATAGGGGAAAAGTTTGAGAATTATAGTTCTTCATTTACCATCCTCTTTCCAGAGCACAACAGTTCTCTTGGTCTCAAATGCTGTTGCTAAGAACCATTGTGCCTGCAGTCTTTAACTACAGGATTTTGAGGGAAGGGAGACCACCTAGTTTGACCAGGTTCCCATCCACTTCCAGTCAGGGTCATGATGGGAACACTGTGTAATTCCACTTCTTCAAACTGTTCCTTACATTGATTCCCAGTAATTAGCCAGTGTGCACTGTGAGCCAGGCACCATTTCAAGTATCTCATATATTTCATTCAGGTCAGAATTAAATCTCTTGCTTCAACTCTTTTATTCATCTGTTTTAGTCACTATTTTATTGTCAGTATATGGGTGTGTCTGGGGTCAGCAATACTTATACCGCCAGGCACCTGTTCACCTGGCTGGGTGTGGAGTGTGCCTTGTAAAATGGAGAGCTCCCACATGCCAGAGCCCAGGTGCCATTTAACTCCAGTTTAAGAAACAGGAAACATTGGAAGGCCAGTGATCACCAGCTTCATCTGGCATTTCAGCATCAGCTTTTATGACTGTATTCTGTTGGTGAAAATTGACATTTTTCTTACTGGTGGAACTTCATAGTATAAAATTTAGTAATGAGCACTCTGTATCTATTGTATAATCCATTATGACCCATATTCCTGGTATGGATGATTTTAGCTGTTCCCCACTTGTAGAGATTTTTAAAAAGTAATTTATATGGATCCATATCTCTATTTTCCTATGAGAAATTAAACCATTTTCTCAAGTTTACATTGAAAGAGTAGTAAATATACTTGCCATATTTTATAGCTATTTTTCAGATATATTTTCTTCTTTTCATATTTGCGTGTAATATACACTGCAGTTAAACTGTAGTGATGTATAATGAAATGAAATTCTTAAGACCTGCAATTACATGTGTATACATATACACTATTAACACAGGACATAGGGAAATTATATATGTATACCACAAGAAAAAATATATTAAGAGTTTTATATCCCATGTCATTTAAGTTTCAGTCAATATCCATCTTAACATAGTGCCTTGTCTATTTTAAACCAATGTATTGATGAACAATTTAAATCACTCCTCTCTGTTTAATAATTTATAACTATGGCCTTTTAGCAAAATGACCTTTTATTATCTTCAACTCCTGTTTCCTTTGATTCATTTAATTACTAGAGTAAAAGCTCCTTCGGTTACACATTTCTAAACTACAGAGAGACGAATTTTGGCATCCATCTTCTGTCATGCCTGCCAGCTCTCTACTTTGTAGCTGTAATTGGATCTTATGTGTCAGACCAACAAGAGAATAGAGCACAGCAATAGCTCTGTTGGAACATAACACCCATTATTAGATTCACAGTAATGAACACAAAAAATATACAATGATGATAGTACCTGAAACAAGGCCATAGAACTGTTAACAAACGAAAAAGAGGTACCAATGTAGAATGGCCCTATCTGTAGGCAAAGTCAACTAAGAACCAAACCTAACAGATTTCATCATCTGCAAACTGGCAAAAATATTCTTAGCACCTCTAGCAACATATGTATTCTCTTTTGTCCTTCGGCTCAAAGCATAGAAGTGTTTTGCTTGCTTTTTGGCTTTCTCTTCCTTCAGGCATTTTGGTGATATCTGTGTTTAAATTTGCAGCCTGAAGTCTTCTTTCACAGAGGAGCAGCTTCTTCCTAAAGGATAACTGTCAACAATAATCAAACCAGCTCTAATAAGACTGATGTTTTAGGGTCCTATTTTGCATTAATCAAGTATATTGGCTGGTATAAAAGCACTG